TGTGAATTTGAAGTACTAATTCTAATACTCCTACCTTATATTTTTACATTCCAGTCCAGTTTTATTCCACTGAGTGGGGTGTGCAATAGACTTACCTCCATGTGGTGCACCCTGGGCAACGACACTCATACGGCAAAAAAGTTTATTAACAGGCAGTTGACTTCTCACTTCAAATTACCATCACCCACTATATGTCATATTTGACTACTTCCACAGTACTCACCTCACCTTTTTTCTACCTTTGTGTCCGTCTCTTTTACATCTTTGAAACACTCTTCTCTTCCCTCCCCCTCTCGACATTTTCCCTTCGATGTTCCTTCCTCTGTTTGAAGCCTGAAGTCAACCAAAGAGCTAATGATAACCATCAAAACGCCTGCCATTTGATATAAATAAATATTCTACTGTGACATTCCATACTTGGCTTCACTCGCCTGGGTTAATTTATCAATGCGTATTCGAAAGTACAAGTGTGCATCGCGATCATTATTCAAATGTGATTTCGGTGTCAATATTTACCGGCAATCAATGGTGACAAGAAGAAGAATTAGCAAGTGATCCTCAAGTGGCCTGTCAGCCCAATCAGAAACCGTAAACACGCGGTTTCTGCAAGTTGAACCAAAAGTTAAAAGAAAATGTACTTGAATGATTGACCTTCTCTATCTTTTCGACCTCTCACTCTGAAGTTGACTTGCCCTAGCCAAAAGGCATCTAAAACATAGCAGGAGTTAATGAGCCTTTAACGCTACAATGATTTTATACCTGGTGCTTAAAATGAAGCTAAGGGATGCCGTCCTACTCATTTTGTTTGTGTTCTATGGGTAGCAAAGTTTACAAAAGTAGAAGCTTATGTTATACAATACGCAAGAGAGGGACCTTCATTTTGGAACTATTTTGAGAGGTAGTACAATGATAGCATGACATCATCGTCTACAAATTCGAAGTTCATGGATTCGAGGTACGCCGATGTGCACTCAGTGAGCGGAATGACAAATCACCACAGTTAAGTCTGACTACTGAAAGAATGGGGGAATTCGAATTTTCCACTAAATAGGATTCATGATGTTGATCCTCGGCCAAAGATAAATGAGCATGGCAAGCATTAGCGAAGGAGATTTAAGCAGTTCATTCATAAGAGGAAGAACAGGTGTTACCCCTTCTTCCCTCTTTAGCTGAACTAGCGTGGCTATACTTCAACTTCTGTGGGCGCATTAGCATAGTAGCAAAGACAATCTAGGTCATATAAGTGACACTGGAAGGTGTGAGGCACATGCAATATGATAAACCAGTGGAAGGAAAATTAACCTTATCGGATGGGAAGAAGATTCCTGGAGGAAGGTGGGTGAAGTTTTTCGGTGGTATAGGGGGGTGCGGTTGGGAGATGGCCGTCGGCGTGATGGGAATCTCAGAGACTTCAGGCGATTGTGGCGTGGTGATACCGATCGATCCCAGAGTGATACCCGGTGGAACGGAGAGGTTCTCTTCGGGGGAGGGGAGGCTTCCCTGATTCCACTTATCACCAATTGCTCCATATCTTTCGAAGTACGTCGAACGAGCGCCTGTCTTGGTGGAACCTATGCAAGGGGGAGATAAATGTGTAAAAATAACATCAATCTTACTAAGAGTGGACGAAAGCAATAGTATTAGGGTGAATAGCGCGTACACAATGATTAATTGAATTGGTTGACCAGTGGTTTAACTGTACTAAATCATTTAACAAAGCCGATTGCGGACTCTAAAAGCGTGAAAGAGCCCCTTAAGATGAATTAAGCACAAGCAGTGAGAACAGAACTGTCAACTGCATGTGAACGTTGGCAGAAGAGAGGAGAACAATTTTTTTTCAACCGTTGACAAATAGGATTCCATCAAAACAATGATAAACTAGGATGCCTTTAGTTTGGCAAAAGACAGGAATGGTTAAAAGACACCATGCAAGAACGCTAATCCTCTTTTGCACTTTCACAAAATTACCTTTGTGCCATTTTTTACTGCCGTTTGCCTTTCTCCCAACGAAGCTCGGCTGAAGCATCTCAGTTTCTTACACTTTAGCTTAGCTAATTTGTCTCTATTATGAATGCAGAGCAAACACACTTGCTCCTCATACTTACTCCCCCCGTCCTTCACACCTCATTTTCTCCTCGCCTCTGATCTCCGCTCTTGTTCATCTCTTCCAACAATTTCATGCCAGTCCCTTAGAATAATCTCTAAAGAAAGCACTAGGAATACATGTAAGACGAATAATGATTAAATACGAATCCTGAAATTCAAGGAACAAATCGGCTTAGCACTTCCCAACATTCTTTACTTATAGGTATTCACCAGACTATCAAAGCAGTAGAGGGTGCAAATAAACGGCTGATTGGAAAAATAAGGTGTCACACGCAAATTCAATGGAGAATTCTAGTAATTACAATTACCTGACGAAGCGGAGGTGACAGGCAGGGCGAGTTGGAGCGGTCGAGCTGTAACTGAAGTTCGAGCAGAGGAAGAACTATTAGAATTCCGGTGGATTGCTGACCCTGGTGGTGCTGGAAGTGTGGCTCGTGCCGCAGGCGCTCGATAGTTACTCGACGATGATTCGTAGCTATAGTAGTAGTAGGAGGAGAAATGAGGGTTGGGTAGTTTGAGGAACCATTGACAATTTTTCCGGCATTGTAGCCACTAGAAGTAGGCCCAACAGGACACAATAGCAAAATACATGCAAAAAAGTGGACTTCAGCGGAAAGCAGGGGAATTAAACCGAAACTGCGTTAGACTGCGAGATGAGGAGGAGCTTGTGAGAGGGCAGAAATTTGCACGGCTTATGAATGCACAATGACATCGCCCATATTACTACTAAATACATAAGTAGACTCCTTTACTCAAATAGTAAGAACTAGGCACAGGTAGGAAATATAGACGTACTATTAAAATGGGAAGCAGAAGTGAACACGGTAACCTTAACCCCACTCCCCCCCCCCGAACTAATGATACACATGTGTACCAAGAGTGCAATCGATAATAAAATCTATAAGAAATGTGACTATAACTGATTGTGAAGAGTATGGCGATTTTTTTAAGGGGACAACTTAGAGTCGAAAGGAAGAATTAGTACTGTGAAACTTAATAAAAGCATAGTTTCCGTATCAAAATGAAATTTGGGCAAGCAGCAACACACACTCGAATAATGTGACCATGGAGAGTTTAAACCTTGAATGTAAGCATACAATAGTAAAAGACACTTTTAAGAAAAGCGAATAAATAAGCCGATTAATTAAGTTGCTACAATCAAACAGAATGACATCAATGAATTTTTTCAGCAGAGGTCATCCGATTTCGCGTTTCGACTACTTGGGTAGCCCTATTGGGGGCGGGGGAGGGGAGGGGGTTAGTAACAATTTTCACAAGAGCATAGGATAGGGAAAAAAGCGATTGCTACAAACCATTCACAAAATATCTGAAAAAGATCTACTTAGCTGAAAGGCCCTATCAACACAATAAGACCTATTTGTCTCACATGCCTTTTTTTAATTTTGGATGTGCTGAGAACGAAAATTCAGCGGCTAAGAGATGGAAGCAAGTCAACCTCTAGAACTGACATCAGAGTAAAAACAGGAAGCTCTAGACAGAGACCGTGGTAGACAAAAAAGGTATTCTAATGAGAAAAATAAACTCCGACACAAAACAATGCAGCGAACAATGTAAAAGAGAATAATGACAAGGTAATATCGGCACAAAACGAGGCATCCTATTCATCATTGGTCTTGGCATATGGGAAGATAGTTGTCGGTATTATGAATTGCAAAAATGCTAAACCTAACATAGAGACTCAAGGCCGTGAAAATAATGAACACGCAAGATCAAATCCTGAAGTCCTTCCAAGCAAATGGCAGGCCATAAATGAGCGAGCATAATGTTAAAAACGTTGGCAAGAGACTTACGTGACATCCGAGCCATTTTTGGCCGTAACGGTGCTTTTTGAATGATCCAAAGTTGGTGTCCGTCCAGTGTTTTTCTCACTCCCCTTCTTATCTTGATTTGATTTTGAGGATTTCTAAAAGGTGGATGAAACGCATTCAAGCAGTTATCATCAGACCATAGACAGAAATCAGATCGACCCTAAGCATACAAATTCGACAATATCCAAAAACAATAATTCAAATCCAATGCGCCTCTTGTTCCTCAATCCATCTTACCTGCATTCCAATTTGGTCAATTTAGAACCTTCAGAATTCTCCTACAAAGGATATCTATTCAACACTTCCAATCGTAGCATTCGGGTCTTAACCTATTTATCATAGTAGTCGCTTAAGCTCATTTAGAAGCAAGAGGACTAAATGGTTAATTTGTCATATTTTGAGTACTAAATTTCGATTATTCTGAATTAATTTAAATTCGAAAAAAAAATTATCACCAACATTTTTCCCCGGACCGCCACCATTGCTGTGAATCGGTTTGACTTTACGGTTGAATTTAAATATAGTCAAGTTGATTAGTTCGGACTAAAATAGCTGACCACGGAGTAAACTTGGTCCTTCTTTATTAGTCAGATTATGGCCAAATTTTTTCGTCTACAAATCAATAAACCCCATTTTACTTCCTATAAAATAACACTGCTAGCAGGGTGCCTCTCAATAATCCGGTCACATCTTCACACTGATTTCTCCAAGTCAATAGTTGCGGAAGCTTCGAAAAGAAAGTAAATCTCAATCGCTGCTTATTTTGTTCTTAACTTTGGACAGCCTAACATGGGAGAGAGAGAGAGAGAGAGAGAGAGTGAGGGGGGAGAGAGGTAGAATGGGATATTTCCCGAGGACATTGGGAAAATTTCGTACTCTTTGAAAAAAAACGGACAATGAATACGCGAATTAGGAGAGGAGAAAGTGATAGCACTCGCCTTTGGAAGGCAAACAGAAACCCATGTGTGAGCTTCATATGGGCGGAGGAGTGCCAACCCAGAAAAAAACTGACCATCACTCCCAACACAAATATACCCCCCTTTTAGGAGGGGGGGGGGGGTATCTTTAAGTTTTATTTGCTGGAAGACACAAGTTGTTTACCACGACACGACTGTGCACTTTGGGCTGGTACGAAAAACGCAAAGTGGGACTTCTTGCCAGCATGAGAGAGGCGCAATTAGCCAAAAAAAAGTCGACTTGAAATATTGAAATGACCAAGTGAAACGCGTGCGCATTATATCATTGCATGAGGCATGCGAACTGAAAGACAACGAGACAAATCTAACCTGACGATCTGCACTGCAAGTTATAATATTAATATATTGCAGGAAAAATCATTTATGTGTAGCGCAGCCGTTAATACAGTTTACTCTGAGTTTTAAACTAGTCACGTCACCCCAATATTAGATCTACTGTTTACATTAACTTGACTTGACCCCAAAACTCCTGTCACTGTTTATATCGGCTTTTGTGGTTTAACGTTAGGTGTCAAAAAGCTCCCAAAATGAAAATATTACCTCCTTTCTCCACAATAAAGAGTTCTGCTGGTTACTCCACTCACCTCATCATGGTAAAAAACCACTAAATTAGTACTAAAGAGTTCAGAAAAGTGGGCAAATTCTGAAGCATTCATTGACTTATTTCTCAATGGTAGATAATACTGCTCCACGGCTTCTTAACTGCGAGAACACTATTTTACTGTGAAATTTCAAAATGTTAAAGATCTCGAACCATAGGCAAAAAAAGAATACTCAATGGCTACTTTGTGGAATAGCCCATCGTTCTAGGGAAAATTCTACCAAAATAAAAATAACCAACATGATTTCTGATCAATATCGCTTAATGCGTGCCATTCTCTCTTGTCACGAGAAGTCTAGAGTACGATCAATTAACAACCCCCCCCCCCCCCCCCCCCCCCCCTAGAGCCCACTGAGGGCATAAGAAAACTAGTCCCAGTTACATGGGCCCAGGAGTTAATAAAGCAACTAAAAGCGATAACACTCACTATGTTCCAAAGGAAGAGAAATTATTAAATCTTGAAAAAAATAAAAATGGCCGTCCGTTTTTATGAATAGGCATCACCAATGCTATCCAGACACCGGACTTTTGAACAGTAACTTCTTGACCTCACTTTTTACTTAGCTCTTCACAATAATACGGAATATTGAAGCGAAAGCGTATCCTCTCCAACTCATTGGATCACAAACTGAACGTGAGTAACAGCATTCAATGAACGTGTACACGCGATCTACTAACTAAAGTGACCATGTCTTCTCCAATGAGTGGGCTAAACATCACACACAATCGATACCGGCATCCCATGATATTCACTCATTCAATTAAATCTCCAGTTGCAGGCAAACTATTGGACAACTGTAAGTAATTTAAGTTATTCCTTCATGGCGAAGGTGGTGGTGCGATGACTGAGAGTCTACTAACAGTTTGTAAAATAGGCAAATGGGGAGGAACATTGGTACATTTAGTAGATAAGGCTTGACTAACGCACTTTTGTGAGGTGCTGATGTTTGATAATCCCCTACGTTGTCCAACTACGAGGACCACGAGAACCCCTCTCACTCCCTCTCTCTCTTCTAAGAACTTTGATCAAGCTCAGGTGGATACAAAATAGCAATACACAAGTTGAACTGCCTAGGTTATCCGAAAAAGGGCCTCTCGAACGCAAGTTATTGACATGGAAATTTGCAGATAGTTTTGAAAATTGAATTCAAGAAAGGAAAACTTTCCATAGGATTTTCTAGTAACATGTTGGGGAGGGGGGAGAGCGGGGGAGATATTTCCACTCTGAAGTACGTTAATAACAGGAGTACAAATAGAAGGCTAGAAATGTCCATGCTTTGAAACGGCGATGAAACCAGAAAAAGAAGAAGAAGCAGTAAAAATAACTGGAAAACATCTTCATATTGGTGGTCTACTTTGCGCATCTATAAGTGCAGGTTTTGGATAAACCGTTGCTTGTCTATAAAACCAGTATAATTGAAAATTTGCACTTTAAAGATAATTAAAATAAAAGTTCCCGCTGGCAGATTATAATGAGGACTGCAAAGAGGATGTTGTGTACTTGGCGCCTTGATAATAGTAGCTACCGGATGGCAATGAAGCCAATACGAAGGGGATGTTACCTTGACCACACAAGTTAGACAACTACTAGGTATTCTGGTTATAGGGAGAAATAATAAATTCAATAATAGTCAAAATAGTTGGAGGGGGAGGGAGGGAACAAAGGTGTAATAGAGGAAACGGAAGGGATATCGAGAGAACAAAACATTAATGTAAACGGACATGATCGCTCATCTAGGCAACCAATCTGGCAATTTGAGGCGACGAAAGTTGATGGTATTGAGAAATGTTAAGAAACCAGAATATCACTGAAGTTGAAATCGAATCGCTTAGTAATCAATAACTAAGTCCCCTCAAGTTAATAGGATTTCTATTGTAGGGGTCATTAAGGTAGATTCAAGCTTATCAAGCATCATTGAGGAAAAGAAATCAAGGTAGGCTATTGAATTACCAGGGGGGGGGGAAGAAATATCCCATACAAATTACTTATATAGCAAATACGAAAGAAGTACACTAAATTCCTACCATACAGAGACATTAAAAACAAATTGAAAGAACCTACCCCTACTGTTTTATTTTTCAGTTTATCCAATTGTCGGCCAAACTTGCGTCTAAGTTGGTTATTAATCATACCATTGGCGGAAACCGATCGCTTGGACTCAATCCACCTAAGATCGCCAAAGTTTGGCTTGGCGTAGGGGCTTCGCATCAACCTCTCCTTGCAACTGTTCACCAAAGGACGCGCTTGAATATCGAAGTTATCCACTGTGTGCTCGGACAAACGATCATCCACAAACTGAAAGAGAGGGATGCAAAAAAAGTGGAAGTAAAGACACAACCCGAATAGACGCTATAGAACTACATCTACGAGCATGAGTATTCTGCTTAAGGCTACTGGTTCTTACAATCGTTCGGATTGCAGGGACTCCATGGTCTGCATGTTCTCAACCATTTTTACCTACTTTCAGTTAGTACAAAAGGACATTTTTTCCACAAATGCCGTTAAGATGGTCATCAAGCATACGCGTAGGGTTGTGTCCAGGCGAATCACTAAAAAGAGGCAGTCGATTTACAATGTAATTGCCTCCTCACTTAATGAAAAGAGAGCATTATGGGTCAATCATAGTCAGATTATTCGAGTTACATTTCATACCAGATTCTTATTCGAGCTTACCTTGAGTAAAATATGCTAGTTGCAGTACTTTTTTTAATTACTCTTACCATCCTGATTTCTCAACCATTGGAGAGGAAAAATATCATCAATCGAAATAACAAGAACGACATCGTAAACAGAAACGCCCCAAGAATTTGAATCTGAACTAAGTTGAAGTATTTTGAGTTAAATTGCTTGAGGTAAAATACATATAATCCTATCGAGATAACACTAAAGTTGCAGATTCATTTGCAAGCTATCTTTCACAAATGGCAAAAAACATGAACAGAGAAAAGTGTAATACTGAGCCAGTGAGTGACAGCAAAATAAAAAAAACAAAGTAGATAGCAATATTGAACGTAATGGAAATGACAAAGTTCCCCAGGGTCAATAGGATTAGCACTGCTAAGTGAGAAATTCATTTTTCGTTCCCAAGAATTAGCCCCAGCGCGCACAGAGTAAATATTAATTGCCAACTACTAACACCCTAGTGGGAGTAAGTAAAATGAATGAGGGAACTGTGGCCCACATTCTAGACTTGGTCGGAATCTATTTAAATTAAAAAGGGGTTTATTATAAAGCCTTTTAATGGCGAGATTCCCACTAAGCAGTGTAATTGAATTTAGCTGGATTGGAAATAGATGCTATGGTTGAAATGCAAATACCGCGTGCTCCCAATACATGCACTTTACGTAAGTAACAGATAGCGAATTATGTTGAAATCCATTGTCTAGTGTGAGTGATTAAAACTATGAGGATTCCAAAGATATAGAGGCTTAAAACAATAGAGACCGTTGGAGAAAATATGGCAAAGTTCATTGATGAGGGTGTAAACAACAAATAACTTTGATCAAGGGTGGATAACTGGGAGTCTAACTTATAAGAAGCCATCAGGCTGTTCGACTTACAGAAACGCACATATCAAGCCTAAAGTGTCAAGCACTATCCGAAAAAATTGGACTGGTAACTCTACGTATCATGCCAAGGATTACACCTATTCCCAATTTCTGGGTCCTAAAGAGTTTGTCCCATTTACCACGATGAAGACGACCAAGTTTTCATATTAATGGTGGGACAGAAAATTTGAGATGTCTATAATAATAAGATGACAACCTACAGTGACAACCAAGCCCACCACAGTCACTTAATTACCAATCTTAACTTTACCCAAATTAGAAGTGGGAAAAGTGCGACAAGCAAGTAACAGAACGAAACTCTGGTTTGAGTTATGCTATTTATTTAACAAAATTAAAAGCGGTGAGAGGAGGTTTAACGATCACAAAATTCGTCGTTCCATTGATGAGTGAAATCGTGAAGAGGCCACTAAATCAAAGGAACAAATGACATTATGCGATTTAAATGATTCTACTCAAATAAGTAGGAAATTAAAACTTAAAATTAAAATTTCCTACCAAAATCACATCTTAACTCAAACAATAACTGAAAATTTTGCTAATTCATATTTTCCCCCAATAGTTAGTTAGAAGTGCTCTAATTAACGAGATTTACGCTAAAATTTGTTACTTAAACGATTTAATTACGCTAAAAGCATAAAAATGGAACCCCCAAGCCCAGTAAATATAAAGCTGGGAACTATTTTCTAATGAGAGTGGTATTTTAGGAATAATAAATCACACAGAGGAGTAATAATTTATCTTACACATCTTGTGAATCATAAATTGTTATTCTTAATAAATGTATGCTAACCATAAACTCGCAAACTTGTAGAAATGCTATAAAATTTAGAGATTTTTTTGTGTTCAAATAAGGTATTTGTTTGATAACATAAGTTGAAGTAGCATTCGATGAGAGCTACTGATATACTAAGGACATATATGATGTAAAAGCGCATAATAAGAGGAGGAAGGGGGGGGGGGGGTGAGAGAATGAAGGTTGGCGATGACAACAATCCACCATCTGGATAAATTCACATATGGTGAGCATCAATATACTCGAGGAGGCAGACAACAAATATTGTAGTATGAGATGGCAATTAGCCAGAATGTACTGAATATGCAATTATAGAGTACCCTTATAGAATCAGCAACAAAGTAGAGCACGAGGTGGATATGTTCAACTAACGAACACGAAGAGTTGGCTTTATAAAATGTGAATAAACTTATTTCACCCTCAAAACAATTAGGCGGTTATACTACAGTGGTGTACCAGACACAATTTAATCTAAAGCACACACATACCGCATTCAATTCATTCACAGGATAATAAACACAATCAAGAGTTTATTTCCAACAATCTGAGGTATACAATAACTATATTCCACGAAATGTAGACATACTAAGAAAGTCAGAATTCTTTTCATTTGTATAATGTCTGGTAATTCTTAGACACAAGTTATGTAAGACATGCAAAAAAATAGTATGAAGAATCGGGAGAACATTTAACTAGAATTAAATCATAGGAAATATTTTTAAATATATTTATTGTTCAGCTAAGCATTCGCGAAAAAGAGGGCATTTGTAAAGCCAACCAAGCGTAAATGATAACTTTTTTTTGTGCACACGAGACGGCCAATTTTAAAGCGTGGTTAGATCTACCAATCTAAAACATTTCAAAATTGAAATGCGCCGGCACACGTTCATAGTATCGATCTTTCGCAACCAATATGGAATTATTGATTACTAATGCATTTTTAATCACGCGCTTAAAACAATTAAACAGGAGACAATAAGGGGGAGGAGGGAGATTGACTAATGCATTACATTTACTGTTACTAATTTTCCATATTAGTAAGGCAATCACATGTTTAAAATGCACTCTCATTTGATTCAATAAGATAAATAACACGTAAATAGGTCCAAACAATCACACGTTCAAACGCTATCAGATCCAAGATATCACTAAAACTAATAAAATAAAGTCACGTGAGTATGAAGGCTTTTTATAAACAAGCCCGAAATGGTTACCTGTTTTAAATTACTTAGACAGTAAGGCCAATGACACATGGATTCCACTCATCGAGATGTTAATTTCATCTAATAACTCCTATGCGATAGAGGAACTGTAAAGAACTACCTATTTAACAATCAATTAGGGTTATATTAAAAAAATGGATTAACAAATCTATTCCCCATTTTATTACAATAGGCACAGCATAGATGGACTTTTTTCACATTTGCCCCTATCAGCTGACTAAGAAAAGGGAAACCGTTGATAGGAATTCCATTAGTCCATATCAACATTTTCTAGATTGGGCCTTTTTGAGGGCTAAATTTTGTTAATCTGTAATTTCCTTGAAGGAATTAATTTAGCTAATTTTTTGCTGCTAATTGAATTGACTTTTGTTCTGCTATTTACGGAAAAATGAAATTCAGGTTGAAATAAGATTATATATATATATATATATATATATATATATTTCTTTAAAACTTAAATAGCATTTACACCTTCTTCACCACTCCAGCCAAAAGTGGAACCGAAGGTAGGGCAATTTAATTCCTTTTATGCACGCTCCTTGTAGTACTTTCAGAGTACTAATGTATACGAATCACATACTTCATTAAACACTTACACAATGAACCATCTGAGACTCGTAGAGTCGTTGCAGAAAGGGTTCCAGAGACGGGCAGGCTTGACATGCAATCATTTGCTGGAAATCCACTTGGCCTGCTGCGTTTTTGCATTCCCCGTAGTAGCCTGAAAATTGGACAAAAAAGCTCAATCGGTTATCGGGGCTACGTGGCCAAAGAAGCAGAAAAACAACGCAAAGTAGTAGTAATTGCTGTATCTGATACACACGTGATGAACCCTCCTCTCCAGACAGAGCGACAGTAATATAAGTGAAATGGCTCTTACTTCAAGTGCTCTTAGACGCGTTTGCCTAATTATATTTACGATAAAATAAGACGATGTGACTTAGACATGCTCCCTCTCTCTGTGAAGTCTTCTGAGTTTTCTAACATTCTCAAACGAGCTACATAAACGTCTCAGGAATTTGAGTAGAATCAAAGATGGCAAACTCTTTCCATGAATAAACGCATTAACGAGATCTTAGGCCTATGCTTAAGCTGAAAAATGTGAAATTTTTAATTGTCAACAAATAACTATTTTCTTGGCGGATGAAACAAAACAGGATGATAAAGTGACATCTAGTAGAGTAGTATCTTAACAATTACCAACTAAATATCCACTGATAGACAGATATGCCGATATGGTACATCGCACTCTCATTTCAATATATTAGCCAAACATGAAATATCGTGAAGGAACCCAACGATCAGCCTCTGAAGTTGGAACTATGGAACGCAGGATTGTGCTCCACCGAACAAAGCCCATAAATTGGCACTAGACTACTTAAAAAATTCCAAAATTCTGACCTTGATTCCATAAATAGACCCACCATTTAACTCAATATGAGTGAAGTTTGATGAAACAATTTTTTTTAAAAAATATTGCAATTCTGGATTTTCACAGGCAATATTACTGCAGCCATAAATAGAACAGCCCTTTTATAAACCTCCTTATTTCATAATTTCGATTTTACCACTACGCGCTATAAAATCGGAAATTCGTTAAATATGTAAACGAGTTTGGGGGGAAAGAATGAGACGCGAACGCACTCCAGACAACGCAGGAAGAAAAAAAACAAAAGAATCCATCAATAGATAGCAAAAAAATATGAACCCAGAACATCAGTTACGAATACCACTCTATGCTAATATTATTCCGTCAACTTATTGGTAACTACTGAAACACCTATAAGTATTAGGAATTTGCACTGTGAATAGTTGTAAGTCATTGAAAAAAGAACTAATAAGTCTCAAATGGATGGCGTCAGTTGATACCAAACACAGGGCCTGAAATTGCAACTCATGTGTAGCTATCGGCGAGAGAGAGTGAGTGAGTGAGAAAAGTAACACAGAGAGCAGGGTCGCTAAAAGGTTAGCTTTCGTGCAAAGGATGTGTAAGAGAATAGAACGCAAAGGGTGTTGGTGGTAGGCACGCCGTTGTGTTTGTTTGTCTTATGAGAGAGAGAGAAGCAAATGAAACGTTTGAGGTGCCATTGACAACAAATTACAATTACACATTCTTTGTCGACTAGTATCTTTTAGCAAAATTTGGCAAGTTATTTGCAAATTTATAAAAAAAATTTAAGGAACCCCATTCATGCTAAAATTCATGGTAGATGTTTGCTCAATACTTAGAAGACTAAATAATAACATTACTAACTTAAATTGTTCAAAAAGCGTCAAGGAAAGTAACCTATATTTGATCAGTCGAAGTTAGACATTTAAAATTAATTCAAATCACCACGATTACCATTTGGAACAAACATCGTTGCTGGTGTACCTTCAAATTCAATCAGTCATCCTGACTGAGACTTTACTTTCAACGTTACCCGTGCAATATCAAAGTGTTACAGAGATGAGAGTAAATAGTGACGCAATAACTATTTTCCATCGGTCCTCACCACTCATGTTACAAACGAGCCCCCCCCCCCCCCTTACATGTGGCCACAAACCCCCAACAACCTTACCTGTTGTGATCACCTATCCCTAACTCAAACATTCTCAGACATAACTGATATCATATTTACGCTGGTCGATCGGCATCACACACGTATAGCCTCGGACTCCATCATGATCATTCGTCGAGGGAACACAGACCACGTAGGACACCCCATAGGATCCTAAGGAAACCATATGTATATCCTAATTGTAAATATGTACTTCATTCGTCATCAAGTGCCCTCCACCCAGTTGTTGTAATGAGGATTGGTAGAGAAGAGAAGCCCTAGGCAACAATAGTAATTACCAGGAAATCACACAGCCAAACTGCTGCCCAACCATTCTAAGGTGAAATGAAGAAGATATGGGGAAAAGTATTCCTAAAAGAGATGCAGAGGGGAAGAAATGTGATTCGATGAGGCAAAGAGAGATGCAGGAGCAATAAACAACTTTCTGATTTTCCGAAAAAAACCCAGTTATAATCCGATAAGGACAAAAAAACAGAGAACCATAAAAAATTGATTTCAATATATTAAAATTACTGTGGTACTAATACAATGAAGCAATGGGAAATCCAAGTGTTAGAAAAATAACCGATTGCAGCCTAGTACATTTTTATTTTTAAAATACAGTTCCAGCGCCCAGTCAAAGGCGCCGTTGAAATCAATTTAAAGCGGGAAGTTTTGCTGATAGACACCCAATATATGATTTATTCGTTAATATAAACAGACTCGGTGATTCAGAATGATTTACCGGGTAAGTAGTAAATTTGGCTTTTAAGTACACTGAATATTCTACAATACCCAAAAAAAGACAGAGTGAAAAACATGCAACTTCAGGACAAGCCCCCGGTGTAAACAAGAATCACCGGAACTGTCTGCAAAACAAATAGCCCGGTTTAAATTGCATTTAAGTCGATCATCCAATCATTGACTTCCAAACTAGGCTGGCATTGATCCAAGCCCAATTTTCTCTTTAAACTGATACATTGATACAAGTGAAATAAGACGTAAATGACAAAGCAAAAGTTGCATTAGATGAGAAAAAAAGTTGCCAAAGAAAGGCATTTGGAAAATCTGCTCAAAGGTGATATTGGGAAAAAGGGAGCTTAGATGCTTCAAAAAAAGGAGTATTTAAGTAATAACAAAAAATCAAAGGTAGGAAAGACAGTGTAAAGCTTAAAAACACGGATTGAAAGATGTTCGATGTATGGATGTTTGGCTTGGGACACGTTTCACAGCTCAATGTGAGTAGGCATAGGTAACTAATTAAGACGATTAGTTAAGGATATTTACGAAAGTAAGTCGCAAAATTTTGAAAACGCATTGAATTTAATTAAGTTTATTCATCCCAAAAACTATATATATATATATATTTTTTAAAATTTAAATTCCGACTCCTCTTGAATGATGACGGTTAACGAAAACAAATGGGAATATAAGCGATCAAACGAAAACGAAAATTATCTTCTCTAACAGGCCAATATCTAAAACAAATGTATTGTCCACAGGGGTTCTCCAAAAAATCCAAATTAACGTAATCAAGGCCAACACAGAAAAGAAGAGTTTTAGAAAAACTCCGATAAGTGAAAAGGGAGTGCTTCTTAATCGCACCGATGACAGAACACAATCGCTGGTTAGAAAGTCGTATTTTAATGTAAAAAAATGAAGCACAGAATTCGATGAAAGGAACATTGAAAGTGTATTCCAATTAGATAGTACCCAATCAATTAGGACAGTCGTTTCGGACCAGGCCGACTTCAGAGTCAATCGGGGGTGTGCGATGGACTTACCTCCACGTGGTGCACCCTGGGCAACGAATACTCATAAGGCAAAAAAGTCTATAAATCGGCAGTTGACTTCTGAATTCAAGCTATTATGACCCCACTGTAAGTCATATTCGACTACTTTCACAGTAATCACATCACCTTTCATCTACCTTTATGTTTGACTCTTTTACATCTTAAAACACTCTTCTGTCTCCCCCCCCCCTCTCGACTTTTTTCACTTTGATGTTCCTTCCCCTCTGTGAAGCCTGAAGTCAACTAAAGGGCTAACGATAACTACCGAAACGCCTGCCATTTGATATAAATACTTCAGTGTCAACCAGGACAAATTAAAAACTTGCATCTCACTTTGCTCACATGTTGATTACATTCTTGTATAGCAACTCACTTCTAATGTTAGTGTGCGTGTGTGTGAATGTGTGTGTGTGTTCTATAAAATATTTTCTCGTAGAAAAACCACAAATATCATTTTGACCAATGTGTGAAAAATTGCAACCCAAAACACATCAAATTAGATGAACCTCAGCTCATAGTGATGGGGTGAAACTTAATTACGTTACCCCCCCCCCCCCCCCAACAAGTTTAGCAGCAAAACTCAATCGATCTCAATAGGAGCTTCCAGGAGTAGCATTAATTAAGGTAAAACGCGAAAATTAATTACTCATTTGAGGTAAAGCATTCACTGAATACACGCAAATGAGGAGTAACGAGAAAAAGACGGTATTTGATTTAACATTTAAGCAAGAATTTTTAACCACACACATTTAACTCGTATTCTTAAAAAACTCAATGTTTAACCCCCAAAGGTCTACTTCCAATTTTAACTGTTTCCAGTCTGGCTCCCCAAGGATGGTAGAGGTTGAATTTCTCATAAACGTCCCAAGGTGAGTGTTGGAAAACGCTTTTTCCCATTTGAGCTAAACAATAACTTCATAGGCATTTCTCTGTCAAAATGCCAATGTTGATTATCGAAACACATCAATATTGTCAGAAAATATGACTGAAAAAGCTTTTTTCATTAAAACAATAGAAAGAGAGAGAGAGAGATTGAGCAAGCAACGGATATTTTGAATCACAATAGGGGACAATAGAGAGGAAGAAGGTAAGTGGCAGTGTTAATGGAAACTGGCTGTGATACATCAATAGGTGAATTTGACCGTTAACCACGACAGGGCAGATATGGCCTGACGCTGTGCTTGAAAGAATGCAATAAAACGACCCTCTTTACTTTAATTGAGCATTCGAATGTCATATGGATGACAAATTTGAACGAGTGTCTAGTTTTTTTACTGGTACATAACATGTGAATGAGGAAATAGGAGTATTTTCTGCCTGATAAAATATGCTGTCAAAAAAATCGCTCAAGGAGAATAATTCAAAGGCATAAACCTACGGGTTTCACAAATTAAGAAGGAAGGAAGTCGAGGATTGTAAATAATTCGATTCCCCTATAAAAATCCACATCAGCATGAATATGGCCAGTCCTGTGGTTCAAGCTACTGTCAGTTTGAACCCGCTCCAATTTACAGACTATCATACAATGATAACCGATTAGTAGTCATTGTTTAAAAGACAACGCTCAATAGAGATTTCCAGACATATGAATACTCAAAAAGTGCCGAGTTATCAGCTCACTAAAAGCATTAGAGATCTACGTATTTGAGTGGCAGGTGCTATAGAAGTAAAAGCACATATTTAAACAAAAATCGAAAACTGTACTGCAAAACTTAAGGCCCCCATTTCCCATAATATGGCTTCGAGCGGTTTGTGAGGGATTGCCTTAAACCATTGAACCCAAAACATGAGAGACATGAGTACTGGTTTCGAGCACACAATTCCACCCTCAAGTTAGTGTTAGCTGAAACTATAATTGGCGAGAGGTCATAACGGCGACAGAAAAAGTGCCATTGCCTACAAATCACGAACAAGTGATAGAAGACACAGGGTGGAAAAAATATAATGGCAATGCCTCACAAGAATAAATATATTTTGAATTCAAATAAATTCAACAAACAAATCCGCTTAGACACATGCTGAATACCGACTAAGGTGGAGAGGTCATTTTAAGCCAATCAAAAGGAAGGTGATCGTAGAAAAATTAACTAAATAAAAGAGCACACTCAAAATGGCGGTTTTTTTGTAGAGATGATTAAATTTACAAATCACAATAACCTTCAATACAAAAAAGGTGAAAAAAGTTAAGATGCTCGAAGACACCAATGGATAAGATGCGCTGGGTCAGAGGTGAAACAGGGAACCCTCCAGGACTGAACTAGCTCCGATTTGCATTTAGTTAAGAGAATGGCTAATATAGAAAAAATGGAGTAGGATTAGTGGATACAATTAGAAGGAAATAATTACAAAAAACCCAGAAAAATTTTGACATTTTGCATTATGAGAAAGAGGGTGTGCGATAGACCTACCTCCACGTGGTGCAAAAAAAGTCTATAAATCGGCAGTTGACTTCTGACTTGAAACTACAATGTCCCCACTGTATGTCATATTCGACCACTTTCACAGTACTCACCTCACCTTTTTTCTACTTTTGTGCCTGTCTCTTTTAAATCTTTTAATCATTATTCTGTTTGTGTCTGTCTCTAACATCTGCAAATCATTAATCCCTCCACTGTCTCTGCGCTCTCGACTTTTTGCCACTTTGGTGTTCCTCTTCCTTTCTCTGAAGCCTGAAGTCAACTAAAGGGCTAATGATAAATATCAGGACTTTTTACCACTTGGATGTTTATCTTCCTTTCTGTGAACTTTTTGCCACTTTGATGTTCTTCCTTTCTGTGAAGCCCGAAGTCAACTAAAGGGCTAATGATACCTATCATAACGCCTGTTATTTGAAAGTGACTCCAGTGAGTGGACAAGGAGAGGGGATCGAAAAGGTATTCAATAAAATCGAGGCATCAGAGTCTTTCTTCATTCGGCTTTTAAATTTGGGTCGCATAGAATTCAATTATAAAGGGCCATTCAGGTTCAAAAGTTCAAATTTAGTGATATGTCTGCCGGATTTCTGACTGAATTTTTATCTGCGATTTTCAGAACATTTCGATCGGCTGTTCAACTACAACGGTGAATTTGGCATCTTAAGTAATCTTGTTTTCCAAAGATTGAGCAGCTTTAAACGGTCTTAACAAAGCAGGTCTGAAACGGCTGGAATGAAGTTAGATAGCAAAAAAGTCACCACAATTAAATACCAGTTCATATTGAGTTACCAGGTGGGTGGGGGGCTTGGCAATGCCTGTTTCAACATAATTTCTAGTCTTCCGAGGTCACAGTTCAACAAATTTAGAGTTCATGAAGTAATTAATATATATATACCACTTTTAATGCGATAAATGAATTACGAAGGGAGGGAAACTTAGCATAGCAAATGCCTCATAAAAATCTATTTTGATAAATCCTGGTATAAATGCCATTGGAAACATGCCAATAATATCCATTACTATCACCTATCCAGTATAGCATCCAAATGCTACACAGCAGTAATTTGTTTTAATTACAGGTTATAAAGCGCTTAAAATAAACATTATTAACTGGTTATTAACTAATAAAAAAAATGGAATCCCGAGGTTACTGAAACTAAGCGACTTAGTTTTCAGCAAAATTCTACATTTAATCTATTAGGATATTGTATTTCCACCGAAAAGAAGCTGCAAATTACAGCAAAACTTATCATAATTATAAGGGGTGGGCAACGTATACTCATACGGCAAAAGAAGTCTATTAACCGAGACAGTTGACTTCTGACTTCAAACTATCATGGCCCGACTGCATGCCATATTCGACTCCTTTCACAGTACACATCTTACCTCTTTCTCTACCTTTGTTTCTGTCTTTTTTACATCTTTGAAATACTCTTCTGTCCCCCCTCCCCCCCCCTCTCGACTTTTTCACTTTGATGTCCCTTCCTCTCTGTGTAGCCTGAAGCCAACTAAAGGGGCAATGATAGCTAACGAAACGCCTGAGATTTGATATAAATAAAATAAATAATTCAGGAAAACGACCGACCAATAGACGTATTGTAATTCCTTAACTAAGTATCAATCATATCATACATAAGCAACCAATTGCACAAACAATATCTATATATTGATAGAAATAAAGAAGCTGTAAACATAATCTTATCAGCAAGCAAGAGTGGAACGAAGCCAATCTTAAGAGATGTTAGTGTACCAAATTCCCACACAGAGGATTTCCAAGTAGACCAATTCGTAACATGATAATTTACACCATGAACCAACGCTGCAATCCGTTTGAATAGAAAAGTGCTAACGATGGTAGAATAAATGACCCTCCACATGATCACGTACATTTACGTGAATGGTCAGCAGTATGCCCCAAGAAGATTTGATTCCTAATAACTCGAAATATTCGGAATATGGATCCTTATTATGAAATCCAGCCGTACAATAATAATAAGAGACGTACCAAGAAGATTGACAATAATGGAGAAGAAGGGTTCAGCTTGATGAATGAGGTAGTTTTGGATGGGTAATTTAGAGGTCTTCCAACGTTCCAACTCATCGCTTTTCGTGGTCATTGCCGATTTGAGGAATCGATCCATATCGGTGAAGTCCACACCGAAGTAGTTCAGCTAAGGAAAACCAATTAAAATAGACATTAAATTCATCAGTTAGTGCTCCCATAGTTTTCTCTAGCTAGTTATCATTGTTTTCTGTGTTATACGCTTTATTACGCTTACCATAACACTAACCAGCAGTCATATTTTACACCCCCCCCTTCGCCCCTCCCTCATCAACGATTGATCAAGATACTTCCCCCCCCCCCCCCCCACTAAAACTTTGTTAGGACCTTTGAGAAAGGAAGTGATCATCCCATGGGCTTGGCTTTACTTAAGAGGGGGTAACTGTTGCTAGAGTAATAGCTTTGAGCTATTAATCGAGTTAAATGTTGTTTCCCCTTTACTTAATGCGCTTGGAAAGTCATAATATCGGTTAATTAGGCAAAAGGAACTTAAATATTATTGATAAACATCTAATGTTTGGAATGAGAACACCCTCGTAAGTTATTAGTTGCCAAAAGGTCACACAATAAAGCGATTCAATTCAATAGTGCTTAGGCATGTATTTGAATGAAGTTGAGGAGGGGGGGGGGAGGGGGGATGCACGGAAAAAGCGAATTTAAAACGTTCTGAAAAACTTACAATGGGCGCTGGCATTGACTCGTTGTCAAGTTCTTCAGGTGGCATGTTCACGTAGATGCCCTGACCATCAAGATCCACGACTCGGGTTCCGTAAGTGATATAAGGCTTCGCTTCCTGCCAAGAAGAGGAGAAGCAAAATTAATGAACGATGCTGTCAGAATTAGTTGGTAAAAGAGGTGAGGAGAGTATAATTCTAAGAAAAGTTTATACTTTTGGGATAAAAGAAGAGTGGTAGCACTTTGGCAAGCTATCGACGTGGAGAGATATGAAAAAGCCTTGTTAGAGGTCTTGGGTTTAATTTTAAAAGAACTTTGACCTCCGCCACATAAAATGAGATAGATAATCGATTGGCAAAGGAAATCAAAATGGTGATGACACTTCACCTCAATCCCCCCCCCCCCCTCCACCCCCACCCCCATTCACCCTCATCACCAGATCACTTCCATTAGAGAATAACTAATCTCGCATCCCTTTCTACAACTCCTGTTTTCGGCTCCCATCTAAAAATTATCACAAACAAATGAACCAACAAGACTCATTTAACTGAAAACTTGAAATGTAAAGCATTAGAACACGTTATCAAGCGAATTCAGCAACCTCGATTGAATTTTTTTGAAAATATAAAAAAATAAACGAGAATGAACTCTCAAGTAAGTCGAACACTTTCCGAAAAGCTAAGAACTTTTTGCCCTATATTCATTGCAAGAAGATTTGTGATTTTTGCGGTTGTTACTGTTAAGCCAAAAAATTAACGGAATAACGACAGTAAAAAACTCAAGGATAAGAAAAACAAACGAACGATTTACAAAATATTTGGAGTGTAAAAGCCTCCATTTTGAGGCAACCATCTAGCGCGTAGGAAACGAGTAGCCCTAGTTTCAAGGTTAGTTAATTGTCAAGACACCACTAAAAAAATCGATCTATTTTCTGGAAGAGCATACAACATACCTATAAAATTAGATCTAAAATTTAATACCAAAGTGGACATTTCCAAGTTTGGTGGATCAAAGAACACCTCCATTCTCGGTGTATTTAAGAAAAAACTAAATAATGATAAAGGAAGAACCATTAAAATGGAGACAATAACCAATTAGTTAAAACAGTACGTAGAGAATATCTTTGTATTTCTATTCAAATATTATGGCATATATTTCCCTGATTGGCATAAAAAAAACAGAGAAAAGAAACGAAGTTATCCTAGCCAGACATTCCGAGTACTTTATTCACTAAATAACTTGGACAGAACAGTGCCAAAGAAGGGCAATTTCTATGACAATGAGAACACTGCCTAGGCAAAAAAAAAACGCGTTGAACATTAATTTAATCACGGAAACGAAACAGGATACAAATGAGGTAACTTCGTCTGAGTATTTTTTTAGTTGATATAGCATGAATAACCTCTTAACTCCCTTTACACACACACGAACGAGCTACAGAAACGAACAATCATTCAAAAACGCAATGTCAAAACTCTGAAGTTTAACCTTTAAGAAGTTAGAGCACATCTATTAGGTAAAAAGGTCAAACCAATAAACCCAGAAACGAATAGATGATCATTAACGTATGCCCATCATTTCCTGCTAAACTTCCATTTCAAAAGCTGTAATGCACTTTGTACCACCAGAGATCTGATGCGGGTGTTTGAATTTTATGGGTGAACCTGGTTTTAGAAATCAACAGAAAGGGCAACTCCTGGCATGTATTAGGCACTAACTTAAAGAAATTTACAAAATAAATAAGAGTTAATTCTAAAAGGAACAAAGTTGAAGCTAAATATACCTACCTCAAACATACAGGCGTGTATACCAGCAATGAAGGGGACTGGAGATCTAGTGAAAGGAGATCAATAAATTGACCATTCGCACTTACTCTAAGAATGGAAGCAGTTTCCTAGGCAAAATTGGATAGATAGGTGAGGCCCTAAAAAAAGAATATAGAAGCTGAGGTACGTAAAGTCTACCATGAGAGGGGAAATAAGAGGGATATCGCCGCGATAATACAACACGTCAGCCGTTGTCGACTTTTCGAGTAAAAAAGAATACTCTTTTCCAAAAGCATACTAAAATGAACAAATTTGTTAGAAAGAAAAGTTCAAACCTGGTAAAAATATCGATCCATTGTGCGTGCCCCAAAGAGGAATAGTATTGTTCAAAAGCTTTCTATTAATAGAAAGGCTTGCTAGAAATCAATAAATCAATAACCTACCAAAAAGTAAGGGTTATTTGAAGTTGGAATGAGTAGGCGAATATCCTAGAAAGGAAAGGAAAGAATCGAATAGTTTTAAGTGCCCGTGCGTAAATGGCCTTGAACACGACTAATGAGAAGAAACACCTAATTCAACCCAAATGACAAAAAAACAAAACAAAAAAATGTGCGAGCGCAATATAATGTACAAGGTGGGAGGGGGGGGGGTTAGTAGAAGCGACAATGGCAAAATCGCATTACATGCGTGAACACGAGGAAACGGGGGGGGGGACAAGAGGGGAGAGAAGGGCAGGATTGTGAGAAAGCAAAGACCAAGCCCCATAATTGGGCATTGTTGATATTCTTGCTATTGATATGATTTTAAGGCTTAATTAGCATATTAATTAGATATTGACGGGCTGTAGACGAGGTATCAGCGCGCGTGTGTTGGAAAATGACTCACTCTATAGCAGAGTTGGGGAGAATTATTCTCATCTGGGTCAGAATTCTGTCAAGTTAAAATTATTATTTACAGCATCGGTCTAATTGTGTTTAGGCAAAGTGGTTAGTGCAGGCTGAATAATGATTTAAAAGAAAATGAAATATAATATTCAGCTGGTCAGACAAGAGGGATATTTTTGAATAGCAAACAAAGTTTTTTTAAGATCGTCTAGACTCATTACCAGTCTTTGAATGCAAAAATATGAATAAACTGTCTGAAATATAGAGTTTAGCATCAGTGGATAGGGGGGGGGGGGGTTGATTCTCGTTAACGAAGTCAGAAGTTACCGGTTCGATGGCCATTGGTACTAGTACTAGTAGCACCGGATATTAACAAGGGTGGCGAAAATCGAATTGCTCCACAAAAGGGTTCTATAATGTTGGCTCTCTGCTCAAGATGAGTGTTTGTGAAAGCTACAGTATAGGGTCAGAGAGTTATAAGGAAAAAACTGCGTTATAAGGAACCAACTTTCAACTGATAAAAGTAGCAATAATTAACATGAAATTTTAGGCAACCTGAAAGTACCACGCTTGGAAGTATTCGCCGATTGAAGATGGCCAAAGTAAGAAACGATTTGTTCACTAACGATGGCAAAGCATCGCCATTAATGACTAGAAGTTCTAACTTACAGTTGGATGCAGACACCTAGAACCCACTGGAAGAAGTGAAAATTCGACCATCAGAGGAATAGACAAACAAACAAAAAAACATATCATTTCCATTTTAGAAGGTTAGAGATGGCTTGCAAAGCTACCGGCTGTCTGACTCCAGCAATTTTAATCAGCGCAAAATAAGCAGAGAGGAGACAGAACGCAAAATGGACACCATTTTTTAAGAAAGAACGAAATATACGTTTACCTATAAGCCATAAGCTGAGGGAAGTGAAGCATGCGTAGAAGGGGGAATTACGAGTACCCAAGTCAAAAAGAGGTTGGATCAATGGGATAAATTGAAGGGAGTGATAAATGATTAACGAGCCTAAATGACATTGCTTAACTCAATAAATTTCTTTATAAGTGTAGGCACCTCTGTGTTGCTGCGCTTGAACAGGCCATTCATTAAGTTAGTTAAAACACACACTACCGGTAAACATACTTTGAATGAAAATTTTTTACATAATGCTTCCAAAGTAAGTGAAGTTTACTTAGAGTGAACTCAACTTGGCTTTGCTAAGTTAAAACCCCTAGTCAATCTACTAACATATTCATAAGAATATCATGAATATGAATTTGTACAGGAGTCAAGCGGACAGATTCAGCTAATTAAAAAACGGAATATGAAAAAAAAACCGACTATAAGTACTCTGAAAAATAAATGGTTGCTTGGCCTTATTGCATGTAGCTTAACAATCTAAATTCGGTAATTACTATTCGAAAATAGTAAATACATAAATTACAACCAATAGGAGGTGGGAGACAGATGTGAACACTGCAGCACATTGGAAACATCTTTTTTTATCTCAAATCGATTAAGCATTTACCACCGACGCTGTATTAGTAAGCTTCAGAGAAAAAATGTTTTGTTTTCGTAAAAAAAAGTTACATCCAAATTAAGTAAAACAAATTTTCCTTTGACCAAAAAATTTAAAAAAGAAACCAGAAACAACTAAAAAAGTGGACAAAAACAGTGTTGTTGGTGTATAAAAAGCCAACTTTGAATAGCACAATCAAGAAAAACTTTAAAAATTAATTAGGTAAAGGGTACAATAAACGTAAAAAGGTCAATAAATTCTCATGTAACACGCAAGGCCACAGATTGTGCAAGTTTGGACGAATGTTAGTGAAATTCAAATTATTTCTCATATTGTTCACACCCTTTCCCCTGCTCATTTTCACATAACAACTTATGAAGAACTGAATTTATTTCACTGATAAACTGATTAGTCACAGTTCAATCGAGTTGCTAACAATTTAAGACTGTTGGAATTCTATGCCACCTACTACATGAGAATACGGCAACCAAAGTTCACACCTCAGAGTATGACAAAACTGATATATTTTAATTGATCAGGGTCAGATATTGAATTGGCGAATGAATTCCAGTGCAAATTAAAATGAGATGCACATTCATCAATGAAAGTGAATATATTATTTAAACAAAATTAAAACTATGAGCAAACTTTGAATTAAAAAAAAACTAAGATCAACAAGGGGATCTAGCGTAAGTTAATAAAATTGTATTAGTTGTACAAAGTAAGGATACGTTTGCAGGCAAAGTGTGAGAAATCTATGAAGTGAAGGGATATAAAAGCTATTTATTTATTTCAGTATAAAGAACATAGGAGGTTCAATTGCACTGAAAAGGACATGGATACAAAACAAGTTACCCATGTAGTCAATCTTACTTCAGTGATACAAACCAAAGGTCGGTAAAGCTGTGTAAGTAATAATAATGTAGTTCAGAGAGCGTACAGTAGGAGAGTAAAGCCATATGGAAAATGTGATTTAATTTGAGGTATAAATAAATAGTAGAAAACAAAATAAGCAGGAAATAAATGAAAGGACTTTGATACGATGGTTTATTGCTTACTAGCACTTATAAAAGAAGTCTGTAGTCGTGAATATTCTCGACTGATAATATACTCTATCCAACAATTGTACCTATGTCCACAGATGTTTCAAAACCTACTTTTAAACTAACTTGGAGTACTGTCCATTGGTCTAAAAAATATATACATTCACACGAGGCAATTTCAAATGTGAAATTACGTAAATATACTCCCCTCCCCCCCCCCCCCCCCCCCTCCTCCTCCCCAAGTATTCCATATTCTGGCTTACCGAAGTTAGTAATTTTGATTGTCTAGTCGTGTAAACAGACAAAAGTGAAATCAATACATTATGTAACCAAGTTAATTGACTAGCCCGAATTGAATTCCATGCAGGATAGAGCGCCCCCTTAAAAGGATCCAAATTATAAATAAGAAATGAAGTTGTTTAAAGTAATGAATTTCAATTGATTTCATAAGAGGTGCGAAATGTAGTAACAGCAAGAAGGCTAATGACCCAGCACGTGTGCGAAATAAACGGCAGTTAGTTGAATTCACGTTGACCCTTAAACTAAAAATAGCGTATTGTTTAAAAGGCAATAAAGAATACAAGTTGATTTGCACAAAAGGAATAAAAAAATTTCCGTATTCATAGTCTAATTCAAGACCCAAATTCCTACACATCACAAGAAAGTGTGTTCAAAGCAGAAATTTTGTCAACAAAGAGTACCGCTTAAAAAAGGTAACATAATAATATAATTTATCAAGACATTTTTAAAGGCATTTGTTATTATCCCAGTTATTGAAACTTCAAGAAATAATGAAGGTCAAGCAAAAATGCAAAGAGAGGAAAATAAGGAACAACACTAAAGAATGGGAGCATCATCGATAAACAAATAAACAAAGGTGAAGAAAAGGAAAGAAAGAGACAAAACCACGATGCTTAAGCTTACCATAGGAGGATTGCGTCCTTGTGTTTGCTAAAATGACCGACAAATTCACACAATACCCCTCCGGAATATGAACAAATAACCAAATATCAAACGAGGATAGAAAAAATAACGAAAAAGTGAAAATGCGGGACTTACTGGCTCTGAAGTGTTGGGAAGAGGATATGGAACGGAAATGGCATTCTTATTGGCTGGAGGCGGTTTAATGTCCTTAATCTTTTCGAGGAATTGACGAAGAGTTTGGAGCATCTCCGGCTTGAAGAGCTCCTTCGATTTTACCTCCTCGAGTATTCGTTGGAAACAATCAAACCAAGGAAGATAGCTGATAAGAGTTTGTACAATAAAATAAATTATTAACAATCAACCTGGTAAAACATATAAATAGCCCATTTGATGTCTGAAGGCAATGTACATATTCAGGCCGTCCTGTGCCATCGGTAAACAGAAAGAAGTAGAATTCAGTAGAAAGTGGTCTGTATTAAAAAGTTACTATTAATATATAATTTATGCTTACGCTTTACAACATCCTAGACCGAATTCTATAATACGATCAACGAGCTGACTGATGGTGTCACTGGGAAAGATAATCCTAGCTAAAATGCAACAAATAAATAAATTTAAGTAAAAGCAATAACGTTTTAAATTACAATTTAAAGATTTTAAACGACAATATGTAAATAAACTCACTTTGCTTAGTGTAATTTTCATAGATGACAAAATAGTTAAAAATGCACTCAGCGTCTCTGAAAAATATTAGTTATAGAAATACTTTATACCTGTTAATCAAATTAAACATTTGTACAGATAGGACCAATCATAGTATCGGATGAATATACCAAATCGCGCAGAATTTATAAGGTAATAATTAACAAACCGCTATACCAAAATTAATAATATTTACCCATTGACAAATTAATTTTAATAAATTATTTAAGATTAAAGGCTCTATTGTGCAATATTTGTATTTGAGAATGATATATTGAATTTCATTTGATATAATTTAAACCTTTAAAGCCATTATTAAAAGCCATATTTTAAACATTCTCAGTAAATAAAATTATAAATTTTGAAAAGTTAAGATGCTCTTCCATTAAAACCCCAACTTGCGCTAGTTGTCTTCTCTCTGGTTTTTCTGCTGATGTCTTTGGTGAAGGAGGTTGAGAATTTGGTATGTTTCACGTTCTAAGGAAGCAACATTACAACTTAAATTATGTTTTATTAATAAGAATTTTTTTGTTTCTGTATCTTGGAATTTATTGCTTTTTTATATTTCCGCTTTATTGCTATTTTCATTTATTATTTAAGCGATTTCAATGAAATCTTTAGGAATTTGTTCTTATTTGTCCCTATTTGTTAAGCCTTCAGAAGAGCGTCGTAAAATAACTGAACTCATAAAGGCTAATGAAGGCCAATCTGAATCACATAATGGATCTAAGCAGGATTCTTCAACATCTTGGATGTATGAGCAGCCAAAGCGTAGTGGGGAAGATTTTCTTCTTGGAAAGGCCATTAAGAGCCTGGAAGAACTCGCCGAAATCAACCGAGACCAAGAGGAGGAAACTCCTACTCAACGTCTCACTCGTTTGGATATGGAAGCGAAATTTCGCGAAGACCCTCTCAATCGTATGCGGTAAGTTTTATGGTTTTTATTAAATGTGCCGTTTAAATTGGAATTTTTTGTTTAATACTTTGACGTTATCCTTTTTCTTCAATTTGTGATTTGATGTTATCGATTTCTTGTATCATCAACGCATTTTTTTCTAGTTGTCAATTGGCCTATTTTCATTGACCTAATTTTCATTTTTTACGTATCTGGTTTCGCTAGACTATTTAGTTGGAATTTTATCTCTCCTTCTTATTCATCTAGTTGAAATCCACATTTTTCTTAATAAACTTATCTGAAATGAATAGATTTTTGAATTGAAGTGGTTTGTCGAATCTAGATTTTATTTTTCATACTCTCTATTCGATTTCTGTTTAATTTTCATCAAATCTTGTCTTAAAGTAACGAATCATTTTTAACTCGTCTCCTTTTTTAATTTCAGATCTTTAATTGTGCGAAGAATTCTTTTCTTTTTTCTACTGGGCTTCTTAGTTATGTTCGAGTCCATTGGTTATAAAATCTATTGAGGGTGGGGGCGTAATCTGTACGTTTCCTTTGTAAAACAGTAGATAGTATTGAAAAAGAATATTCGAAATTACATGGTCAAATCATTCGACTGGTGATAATGACACTCGCTTATATATTATCCTCAGACTACACCCCCATCATCCTCAAGAATCAACTTTTCGTGTAATACTTTCTTTGTTTTATCTTCTTTTAAGCTATAATATAGTAACTTATTGCTGGATATTTCAATGGTCTAATTTCGGTTTTACTCATAATGCCTTTAAAGAGAATTTATTTGTCACGCTATTTCAGTGCTGTGTTAATTGTAAATTTCGGCAATAATTAGCGGTTTCGATCTAGTTTTATTTCTCGCGTTTGCTTTTGTTTAAATTCAAGTTCTGGCCCAAAAGAATTAATGTTCTGATTTTTTGTTATCAACAAATCAGTTTGTCGTTGTCGAGAATGAATGATAGTACAATTTGAATATCTTCACACCAAAATGTGGAGTTTCTTTTTCTGTTATGTTTATTTTTAGTGGTTCTTGTATCTTATTGACCCTTTTTTTCAGGCAGCACGAAATGGAAAAACGTAGTGCTTTACTGCAAAATACTGCAAGAATGAAGAAGCTGCAGAAACTTATTGAGATGCAAAATGCTGCTAAGCAGAAAGCAGAAAAACGCAAGGAAAAAAAACGTTCCAAAAAGGAGCACAGGAAGCAGAAACGTCGCGTCTCAGATTCCTCCTCTTCTTCTTCTTCATCATCAGATGATGAAATTTTGGAGAAGTTTATCAGTCTCATCTCGAAGGTGGATGAAGTGATGAACGATGGCAATGGCGGCTGCTCAGTTTCGGAAAATTCTAAATCGGAAAAGAGCGATAGGAAAGAGAAAAAACACAAGCATAAACATAAACACCACCATACCCATCATTCATCGAAGAAGAGCAAGAAATCTTCAGAAACCCCGAGATCTTCAAAAGACAGCCATCCGAAGTTGATTTCTGGAGGACCATTGCGTAGTTCAAAGGAGCGTGATCGTTCGCGTCATCGGTCTAAATCAGTTTCCCCGAAAAGGTTTTCAGATAGACCTCTCCCGCGTCGTGATGACAGCGTTAGAGGTCCCTATGGACGAAGGTATACCAAGAGCCCTCCAATGCGTAATCGATCGTCTCCACATAGAAAAAGATCTAGGTCGAGGTCACAAGATTTTAGCAGGAACGTGACGAAAAAACGGACTCAAGAAGAGATGGCAGCCTTGAGGGAACAAATGGCAGCGGATGCGAAAGAACGTGAGGCTGAACGAGTTAAACGATTTGAACAGCATCAGCATGAAAAAGCGAAGGAGGAAAATGAGGAAGGACAGTCAAGAGTTCGCGTTGGAGCCTCTTTTCTGCGAGGACTGACTCTGAAACATGTTGCCTCGACCTCAGTGGAAGAGGTTGTTCAGAGACACGCTAATAAGAGACAGAGAGGAGGCATGGATCAGAACTTTTTGAGGAGATAAAATGTGTTGTGTATTTGTGCTTTTGTATCTATATGTCCTGTTTGTAAATATGGAATAATTTTTAAACCCCTTTTTCCTTTTCATGAACTTGTTATTGTTAGTCTTCAAATCGAATATCCCTCCAGCGGTTATTAGGCTAATTAATATCGAAGGTTTTTGATTATCAATGGTCATGTACTGTTTTAATTCAGTTTGCATCTTTATGGACTATCTAATGATATTAGAGGGGGGGGGGG